CAGAAGCTGCTTGGCTGGCATGCGAGCATCTGGATCGCTGCAGGGATACCAACAGCACAGGCATGTGGGAGTAAACCTTTCTTTATCTTAGCTTCTCTCTTCTGCTCCTACCTTTGTTTTGTCTTCAGGTAAAATAAAACCAGCTTGACAGTTACTAAAGACTAAGTTAATGTTAATGGAGGCTTAGTATCCAAGAACAAAATTCGAGATGTGCCGGAGCCAAGAGGGAGACCTGCAAAGCTGTACTTTAGGCTGGCAGAACCACCACTTTAATTTATCTGGTATTAGAAATAGCTGTTCCTGCAGGTCAGGGAGACAGATTTCTTGTGTGGAAAAGGAAAATGCCTTTCAGTATTTTAACAGAAACTTTAACATGAATAGTTTATTCTCAGAAAATTCTAACTGTGCATGTGTAAGTCCTGCAGCAAGTTTATTTAGAACCTTCTGCAATTCTAATTCCAGCTCTGGGCCTCCAAAGCCTGGACAGTGGTGCTAAGGGGCCTTCCCTGTTACTTTTAAGATACCTGAAATTGCTTAGACTCAACTCTTCCATCTTCTATATTGTCTGATGGATTTTCTTTCTAAGGACTCAAGAAGAGAAACACTGACAATACCATTAGAAAGAACACCAAATCCCCCATATTTTTCATATGCTTGGATTCTTCCTTCTTTTAAAAGGGTAACAGCTGCACTGAGGGAAATGCCTTTGCATCTGTATGAATGCTATAGCTGTTGTCTGCCTGTCCGTGTATTTGTTTGTAAATTGTTTAAAATTAGCTATCTAGTTTTAAATTAATACAGTGCATTGCTTGCACTGTAATTTCCTCTCAAATTGAAAAACACTGCACCTATAGAGCATATAATAAAATTCTCCATCTAATGTTGAGCCTCTAGATCCATACTCAGGCTCCACAAAAGGAAGGTTTTTGTAACATTTTCCCTACCCCATGTCTGTTCCACTTCCCCAGCACAGCCCTGTGCTCCTGGAGTGCTGCTGGAGCAGCCTTTCCCACGTCTGCTCACGTGTCAGTCTTGCTCCATGGGTTATGGACTCTCCCCTCCCAAGACCCAACCCTGGCATCTCGTGGCCTGGAAGTTCAGCAGCTGGAGGTGTGGGTAAGGCTGTGGGTCTGTGAACATCTGAAACTGGGGGGAGGTTTCCAGCAAATGAAGTGCAGCTGGAAATCCAGTGGTTAGTTGTGAAGAAGAGGTTACTCAATTTGCTTTTTGTTCCTTAACTAAAACTTCAGAACAATGTCAGCTTCCAGATCTGCAAGGCCTTAGAGAGCTCATTCACATAATTCTACTAAAAGCTAAGTGATCTTTCTGCAACAATGCATTTTAATAAACGCGGTGATTGTTTATGGCAGTTTATCAAAATGCAAGGGTGAAGGGATAAATGTAGTATTACTGATAGGAACAATTCCCTCTTCAGAGGTTCCAGAAACTTCCTGTGTTTCAGCTCAAGCACTTAGGAAATTATACATCTTCATATTTTTGATAATTACTTCCACTGTTTAATGTAACTCTGTGTGTAAAGGAAATGAAATGCTAGATCGGATTATACATTTATTTCAAGATTTCACTTTTTTGCAAGGATCTTGCAAAAGCAGTAAGTTCTAAAGTCTACTGATAACCCACCAGTTTCTGCAGAAACAAAAGTTTTCATTTTTAATTCACCCCATCAGTTTCAAAGATGGTCCAAATCACTTCAAGCTGAGGCTGTCTTGATTCTGCAACTGCAGGCTGTCATCAACCAAATTAATCTCTGCTTTATTCCCTTTGTATTTAACAGCAAGTGATTCACCACCCCATCTATTTTACTGGTGTGGAGAATCTGGAAGATTCTTCTCCTGGTGAAGATGAAAATGTAAAACTTGTTAAATCATTTCAGTGCTAGTCATTTGAATGGCCACTTACAGTGGTACAGAGGGAGAAAGACTGCTTTCTTTTCTGGGTTTTCCTCCATGCTTTGTGTTACCTCTTGTTCACTTGGTTGATGAAAGCTCTTAGCAAAACAGATATTTGTCCAAACTTTACTTCCAAGACAATTTTCTTGTTTCAGTGGAATGACAACCAGAAGTAGCTGCTGTTTATTTCAGGAGGAAAGGATTAAGCCAGAAGTTTTCACACAAATGTAGAACAGAACCATTTGGAACAAGGCGTTGCTGACAGAGGGTTATGAACAGCACAGGTTTCTAGATAGAGTTTAAAAAAAAATCAGATTGTTTCTATTTATATCTGCCTTTGCCTTGGTAACCAGAGACTGTGTGAGGGATGCAGTATTTTCCCATCATGGATGTCTCCAAAATCCATGCGCAGCCATGCAGTGCATCCAGTGTTTGCAGAGCTATCACAAGAACTGGCACATTCATTTCTAAGAGAGGATTTTACATGCTAAGCAGCAAAGAGAAGATTGCAGTAAGAGAGTTATATTAGTATGGATTCAAAATAATTTGTACTCATTTCTAGCTTACCTACTTTGTTCTTTGATCTTTTAAGTATTTCAAGGACCACTGCTCTTAAACACTTTTTCTTAATCACCCTGAGCAGCTTACCCAAATCCGAGGTGGTGGGATTTACTCATAATTGGCTACATTATGCCTGCTTTATCAAGTGGTTGAATGAGGTAAGAATGGACTTGAATCGGTGTTTCTTCACACTTTAAATCATTCTCGCTTACCTTAAAATCAGCTGTTTTCTACTTTGCAAGATTACCTGCAGCTTAGGTGTCCTTACAGCCCTCTGCAGTGCTCAAAATCCAAACCAGGCGACGTTCTCACCACTGCACTGCTGTGCTGAGCTTTAGCCCTGCTGGGAGAAAGGCATTCCAGCTCTGGACATCTGTTTTAGCCACAATTCTCTGTTGTGTTTTCCTTATCCTTTTGCTGTCAGGAAAGGTAGAAGAAGCCAAGTGTGTCTTTCTGCCACCGTAGTACCCAGATACTCCATTTTCTTAGAAAATGGATGGGAAAAGGTAAAGAGAAGGTAAACACAGGCTCAGAATGAATATGGGGAATCAGGCCCTTACTAAACTTCTAGTGGACTTGCTCTTTCTTAATAGCTTCACTAGCCAGCTGTGATCCAGAAAGTAATTTCTGATCTTTTGTCTAAGGCTCATGGAACTCAGTGCCAGAGCAACTTTATCAGGGAAGAAGGGGAAATATTTCTGGGAAGCAGGGCAGGATTGGTAGAGAACCTGCTGCGCTCCTAAGATATTCAGGGATATCTAACTAATAAAATCACATTATTGGGATAAAAGCACTCACTGCATTATCATCTTCGGGAACAATACATTTTCCCATGCAGCCTTTTTTTACTCTAGTTGCTATTCAGCCAGACACTTGGTCTTATGAAATACTGCAGGGGAAGAAAACTCATCTGAGGACAGAAAGGAAGCAGTTGGGAGCACTGGAGCCCTGTCGCACTCCTCCATATTCTGGTTGGAGATCCCAGGGCTGGCATATGGTGCAGGAGGTGGAGGTTGAAGCTTTGTGCCATTTGGGAGTTTCCCTCTATTTGCCTGCTGATGTAGTTTAGGCAGAATGTAGGTGACACAAAAAGTCATTCAGAGTTCTTGTTTCAAATGTAATGACTCTCATTTTTCATTCAGAGAGATTCCAAAATCTTCACCTGCTTTACCTGCCACCCACTGCCTATATAAATAATTTAAAAAATAATTGAGAAAATAGCACAAGCAATTTCAAACTCTCAAAAGCAGGAATAGTGGCAAGGGACCAGCACTTTACGACATAAAACCACGGAAAACTGAATCATCACACCTGTTCTGGCATGTTTATAGGGAGAAGTATGAGTTGCTGTAAGACAAGCATGGACTGGTTTGGGGCAAGTGAAATTTTGGGTTCCATTCTCCTACAGGAGCAGAACCCTAAAAACAAGCTTTACTCTCTGTTACTCCTGTGCAACCTGTAATGATCCTCCACAGAGGTTTTCACGAATCTTGAGCCACTCTATTGAAACTGACAGCTTTTAGATGTAACCACACTTGCCTTTGACTGCCACACAGATTTGCTGGTCCCTGTGGGAAAGAGAGGGAATATTTTCTGGAGCTGGTTATGGTCCCCACCTTCGAGGGGCCGGCCTTGCCTCATCGGTGGTGTCACCGGGAGCTGTCAGGGGACAGAGCCACTGGAGATGGGGCACAGAAGCTGTGTCCCCTGGCCCTGCGGCCCCGCTCCTCTCAGGGGCTGAGCAGCGTGGCTGCAGGCACTGCGCCTTTCTGTGGGGGACCCGCAGCACAGCCTCCGGGCAGCCAGGGCAGAGTGCTGCCAGGACACTTCGCCGGCTCTGCCGTGGCCTTTGGCAGCCTTTGGAGCTAGTTCAAGTAACACAGGAGAGGAGCACTGTGTTGTTTTGCCAAACAAGAGATTGAATGGAGCCAAAGGTGAAGAAACGCCGCTGCACAAACAGCGCCGGGGAGCGCTTCGGCCACGCGGCCAGCCGAGAGCAGCCTCGGTCGGAGCTCCACTGAGATGCAGAGCCGTGTGTCCGCTCTCCCAGGGCTGAGGGAGCGCTCCCGGGCCGCGATGGGCCCTTGCGGAGATACTGCTCTCCGTGCCAGCAATGGAGGACGGCGCTTGCTGCGCTGCACAAATGCTTTTGTCGGGCACTGCTTTCCAAGCCCCCGAAGCAAAATCCCGAGGCTGGAAGCACAGTGAGGCTGCGGGGACAGTTGACAACGTCCCACAGGCGTGGGACCTTTCCCCCCGTACCTTTCCGTGTGGCAGCGGCTGTGAGCAGGCGAGGAGCCCCTCCGTGCCCGGCCTCCCGCGGGAGGCAGCGCGGCGCTTCTCCCCTCGGGCCGCCCGGGGCCCTCCCCGGCCCGCCACAGCCTCTCCGCCGCCTTGGCCCCCGCCGCGGCCGAGGGGCAGGACCGCTGCGGGGACCTTCCACCCGGCCCAGCCCTGCGTACCCGACAAGTGACCGCCCTGCCTGGGCTGAGCGCAGCCGTTCCCGCTCGGGCGCTGCGGAGAGGCGCTCTCCCTGCCCACGGCGCCGGGCAGCGCGGGGCTCGGGCAGGGCCTGGCCGGCGGCCGGGGCCGCGGTGGCCGGCGGCGGGATGGCCTTGGTGCCCTACGAGGAGGGAGGCGGCTGGACAGCGCGGCAGCTGCACAGCCCTTCGGCCACCTTCCACTTCGCCAGCCGCACCATCCGCCTCCAGCAGGACTGGCGGCGGCTGGGGGTGGCGGCCGTGGTCTGGGACGCGGTAGGTGTTCAAAAGCGCAGCTTTTCTGCAGCCGGTGGCTTCCTGAGGCTCTTGCCGAGCTTTCAGATTCGCCGTAGAAATTTATTTACCGTGGTATTGTAAAGGGAAGGCCTTTAACTTTTTTTTTTTTTTTTTTTTTTTTTTATGTTAGGAGAGAACATGTTAAACTGTGCTTTACCTTTCCGTCTTTCCCCATAAGAGATCCTGCAGGAATGCAAGAGAGATGCACCATCCAAACCCTGCACAGCCACTGCCCAGTACAGGAAATATTTCGGATAACTCTCACCTCTTTCTTTTCAGTGGCTGCTGATGTTAGCTTGGCACCCTTCAGAGCATAGCATAGATCCCAGTGCTTGTAGCCTCCGGCAGGAGTGCTGATCGACTTTATCTTGGGGATAAGAGCTGTCCAAAACAGAGGGGTTTGTGCTGGGTCCAAGGCCACAGCACAGTCGCTCACAGCATCACTGTAGGAACCCAAGGGCTTCCCATCGAGTTCGATTTCAGTCCACACACAAATTGCACTTTTACGTCTAGTTTAAAAGAAGAAGTGTAGCATTTTTAGCAAATGTCTCAAATGAATTGGTGTACAGGGTTGCTGATCTTTCTGGACGTCAGCTTTGGCAGAACTTGCTGTGGGAGAGGTCCTTGTCAAGATCTATATAACATGCTATATACAACCAGCTAGAAGTGTCACTAGTTTACTTTCCCTGTGTCCTTTCTGAGGGCATACCAGTGTTGTGCAGAAACCTTCTGAAATACCATACAAGATACTATGAAACCTTATTCTGGACTTCTGCAATCCTGGGTTTATTCGCTAATGTTTGACAACCCCTCAAATTTCCTTTGAGGAAATTTTTTCAGATACAACTATTGTATTTCCTTTCCAATACAACTTTTCCTTTCCAAATACAGCTCTTTCTACCCCCTGTTATGTTTGGGCATTCATGGAGGAATCACCACATCCAAGTTGTAACCACTGTGGTTCTTTTTTCCGTTTGCCAGTAGGAGTTTTCATAAAATGCTATAAAAAAACTTCCATAAAGCATAAAAAGACTACAGGTGCACACAGGAGGTGGAGAAGTGCTGAACAAAGTTTGCTGCAGACCTGAGGCACCCGACCCTTCCCATAACCTCCTCTCTCAGGTTAAACCAGAAACCCTGTGTTCAGTGTGACTGAAACCCTGTGCTTAATCGCCCCTGTCTCTTGGCTTAGGCTGTTGTTCTGTGTGCTTATCTGGAGATGGAAGGCATTGATCTCAGGGATCGGTCTGTCATTGAGCTGGGAGCTGGAACTGGATTGCTGGGAATAGTGGTCACATTACTAGGTAAGGGCTTTTTTTGTTGTCTCTTTTAAAGCAAATCACAACTGCAGTAAAACTAGCTCTTTTACATGTACAGGCCTGGTGTAGAAGTGGGCCCCGAAGCTGCACGTGTGAACCGTGGTGGTTCTCTGAGTCATCCTCCTTCCTTGTCAGACTCAGAGCCTGCTCGGTGTTTGTTGCAGTGACGGTGCCGCTGCAGTTTACTTTATGGCGGGACCCTGTTGAGGCTGCCGCCTGTTGCCATGGCAGGCAGCTCTGCAGCACTCAGCTCTGCAGCTATTCCCCCCAGGGAGCAGGAGCTGTGCTTCCCGACTTCCACTTGTCCTCCGATGCAGATAAAGCTACAGACAGAAACCACTCTCCGAGCTCGCGTAAGCCCTTCATTAGCCTGTCTTGCAGACAGGGCATGGGGAAATGAAGTGATTTGCTGCTGATCTGTCTGTGGCTGAAGCAGGAACTGGGTACTGTGTTAAATTTGTGTAATCTTTCCCAGGTTAACTTTGTAATTCAAAGGTCTGGTGGCTGTGAAAGGTGCCTGTTGAAATCGTAGAAACAAAACAATTTGACAAAATACAGTCATGCCATGAAAAATCATACAGGCTTTTGTCTGACCTGTGAGAGAGGCTGTCTAGCTGCCTCTCTCTTACAGAAAAATATGGAATTGGAGCAGGTTAATTGTAACACCCCCTGTAATTTGTTCTTTTGTCGCATATGGAAAGGCCAAAAGTAACTCCTTGACTTCCATGCATTAAGAAAAAGCACCAGGAAAGATGGTTTTTTTTCCCTACCCAACTTAATCTTCACGTAGAATACACTTTATATTCTTAAGTGAATGATGAAGGGTAGGATGTCTGTAGACAGGGGGTTTTTGCTTATTTTGTTCTTTTATTTGTTTGTTTTTAATCAGGCAGCTCAGGGGAGCTGTTAATGTTTAACAGGAGCTAAGGAGCCGGATTTAGAGCATTGTGTTCCTCTTGCTGCATTGAGGGATGTGGATTGTGGGTGTGAGCCATGGCCTCCTGTCCCCCCTAGGTGCCCGTGTCACCATCACAGACAGGGCGGCAGCGCTGGAGCTCCTGGAGTCAAATGTGCAGGCAAACTTACCCCCTGAACTACGTCCCAGAGCGGTGGTGAAGGAGCTGACATGGGGAAAAGACCTGGATAACTTCTCTCCAGGAGCATTTGACTTAATCCTGGGTGCAGACATCGTTTATCTGGAAGAAACATTTGCAGAGCTGCTTCAGACGCTGGAGCACCTGTGCTCGGAGCGAACGGTGATTCTCCTTTCCTGCCGCATCCGCTACGAGCGGGACCTCAAGTTCCTGAAGATGCTGAGAGAGCGTTTCTCCGTGTCTGAGGTCCACTATGATTCCAGTAAGGATGTTCATATCTACAAAGCACAGAGGGGGAGTCGCAAGGATGACTTTTGACTCTCTGCTTTGTTAATAAGCCACTGATGATGTTCAATTCTCCCCTTTCTTTCTACTCAATACACTTGTTCCTAAGCATGAAGTTGCAGTTGTGCTATTTCACTGGCTTCTTGTTCTGATGGTCTTGTCTGATCACTGGGTCTGATACAGCAAGGATTGTACTTCTGCATATTGAACCTCTGCTTCATATCTGAATAGTGTCATATAGGGTGTTCCACTGTTTTTTTATCAAATGTTATTTTTGAAGCAGATTCAAGTTGCAGAAACCTCCAGCATCAAAATTGTTATATCAAAAGGTCTGTTGTCTGAAATCAAACCACATTTAATTACTGGGGAAACTTAAAGAGATTACAATGTTTTTTTTTCCCCTTTATCACTTCCTTAACTCTAGAAAAGTAGGAGAGTGGATGAAATAAAAGCTAATGCTCCAGCTCTAAATGCTTTAACTCTTCAGGACTTCTGCATCTTAGAAGTTTGTGGTAGAAGAAACCACTTAAAAGGCAAAGAGAACCAAAGGCAGATGCTATAAAGGTGTTCTTTTGCTGTCACTGCTACTTTGAGGAGGCACAGTGAAACAAAGAACAAAATCTGGAGGGGCACTAGGAACAGGGATTGCCAAATAAGCCAGCTTAGAAATCAGTGTTATTTTTATCTGATTTGCAAGTGAGTGGGCTACACCTGCAGTACTGAAGCAGTTGTGGTTTCTGAGTTGTCCCTAACAAGTCTGCCTCACACAGACTGAGGCTCCTTGGAGGAGATACACGTGCACATGTGCCACTGGGAAAGTGCAGCAAGGAAACTCAAGCTGTTCTAAAATATCAAATCAGCCCTTGACTCTCAAATCACCACTAGTAATGTTCTACTTTGTTCTTTTGTTCTTGCTCCCTCTGAGAGCTGTTACTCAGGTCAGGAAGTGCTCTGTAAAGTCTTTGCAGCAGGGGAAGTACTCTTGCATTACTTGGGACCTTGGGGCAGCAGCTAGGTTTGTGTGCTTTCAGTGCACAGTGGTAGTTAAGACACTGCTCCGAGTAACAGATTTCATACCTTGAGCTTGTAAAACACATCTGTGTGTTTATCCCACAAGATCTGGGAATCCATCTCGCACCAGCAGCAAACTTCCTTCTCTTTCTAGTGGTGGAAGAATGAAACTGATGAAAACAATGGGCAAACAGAAGACAGCTACACCTCTAAACGCAGGAATTGCTTTACTACCCTTTTTTGTGTGTGTGGATGTGGAACTTTTTTTGCTTTAAAGTTAAACTCAAAAAGCCTCAGGTCAGGCTCAGACTTTGAGCCTGTATTTGGCACTGGCACTGGCTACAGCAAACAGCTTTGCAGAACACAGCAGCAGCTGCTTTGGGCCATGGACATTTTGGAAGTTTTGGTCACTTTTGCTCCCATCACACTTGCTGGTCGGTGGTCCAGAAGTGCTGTGCTGACTGTAATGTGGAAATGACACATTTATCATTAAGGTTTGTGTTTCATCCCTGGCACATCTCTTGCGTGTTTTCAGCGAAGTTCCTTGCTTGGCTTCGGACCCGTCTGGATTTGCCGCTCTGGAACACTTGCTGTAACAGTATCCTCAGGAGCCACATGGTGTCACTAAAACAGTGCTTAGGCGGCTGGCTGGGAATTCGCAGCCATGAAACTGGAGTTGGAGTCAGTTTGGGAGAAGGAAGATGGCACCTTTAATTGAAAACAGATCATGAGATGAGATCTCATGTGTCAGGTGTAGCTCCTTCTGTCCTATTCGCTGGATGAGCAATGGTTGAAAAGAATTATGAGCTCTCTCCTCTCTGTCTGGCTCTAGTTTTTGGAGTGTGGCTGTAAGTTCTCACCTCTCCTCTTCCTTTTCCTCCCCACTGGTGTATCCTTGTCTCCAAACTCATCTGGGAGTAGGCATTAGGCTCACATGTATCTCAGGCCCCCCTTGGGCTGGAGCTGGCAGAAAGCAGTGTGCTGGTGCCTGGGCTCGTGAGTGCCCAGGGGAACTTTTCTGTGGGAAAAGCCTGGCAGTGCTCGGTCCTTGCAAGAGGCTGCAGCTTGCAGCACTGACAGCCATAGCAGCTTGCACTGTTGCCATAGCAGGAACAGGCTAAAAATTCTGCTTGAATAGCACAGAATAAAGCACAGAATAAAGGCTGGTGCAGCGACCCGCACACTTCTAAGAAGGGGGTTTTGTCCCAGGGCTCGCTTTGACAATATAAACAGTTCTGTACTTTTAAACCAATGCAGTTTAATTCTATCTAATTGTTTTCAGTGTCAGATTTCCCATTGCTGCTGTAACAGCCCACAGCCATCCTGCCAGAGCAGACATGTGCCAGTGGAGACCAGGCTTGGCTTCTTTAGCCGTGCTGCTGTTACACAGCAGCTGCATGCACACCCAAGGGAGCGCACCTGAAGGCTGCAGCGATGCTACTGCCCATAAATAACTGGAGAAGAGCACGAGATGGCACTGGCAGCTCAGGTGAGTGCCTTGCTCCTGGCCTGCACAACTCTTGGTGGCCCCACCCCAGCCCAGCAAGTGGCATCTCTCAAGGGGACACCTCCTCTGACTGCTACTGGGGTGCACGTCCTGTTAGACTTAGCAGACCAGCTCCAGGAATACTGCAGTTAGGCCACAACCATGTGCATATCAGTTGTGGTTGCATTTAAAGCTACAGCGTTTAGGAGCAGGCATCAAGCGTGAGAATGCAGCTCAGCTGCAACCCACAGTCCATCGCCCCTGGGCAGTGCTGACACCCACGTGCACCAGGCAGGGAGTGCTGCCTTCTGTTGTCCCAGGATGGCTCCCCAAGTGTTCTGTATTCCCATGCACTTACCTTCAGGGAGAGGTCAGGAGTGAGTCAGGCCACAAGTGAATCACGCCAGGCGTGCAGGACAAGCAGCAGAGGTGTAACTGCTGGTGAGGGAGCACAGGGAGCAGCCCTGTGCAGTGACACCTGCAAACTCGGGTGTCCCAACCCACGGGTCCCACGGGAGCTCCTGCTCTGTATGAGATGTGCATGAGAACAGCTGCTGCCAGCAGCTGTTTGGCAATTACACCAACACCCTGCCCAAGCACCTTCTGACACCCTGCTCATCCCAGCACTACAGAATCCCACTCCTTTGGGTGGTTCCATTGCACGGATCCTGTTTTGTAACAGGTGATCTGAGCTCATCTGTAGAAGGACGTGGTTGGCATACATCCCTTAGCAGTGGGGCGATGCACAAATAAGTCTGAGAAATTCACTCGCTCTAGGGAGTGGGTCCAAGCCACTGGGGAGTGATCAGGTGAGACACAACCATGCTGTGACACTGAGAAACCATCCCTGAAACACGTGCTTTTTGTGAAATGTCACTGCAGCCGAGGTAAGGTTTGATTGATATTAAGATACATAGTTGACTACACAGGGATCTGTGTTACCCAGTTCTTTTCAGTGCAAAATTCAAGCCAAACTGCATTTTTATCTCGGGGACTAACCCTGTTTGGGATTCTCTCATTACAGTAGATTTTTCTGAGCAAGAACGTGAATGGCATTATAAAAACTAGAAAATCCCAGCTGAAATGAGCTGACCTTACTGCTTCCCCTTGATTTCACTGGAGGTGTGTTTACCTCAGAGCTGAATTTGTTCTCCTGGCTTCCATCCCAGTGTTTGGATCCAGCCTAGCAGATTACATAATAGGGCTGTGATCCTTGCAGTGTTTGCTGCCTTCTGTTTCTGTTCTGTTCTAAAGACCAGTGGTACACAGTTCACAGGAATGCCTAAAAGTGAGACATGCAGCATATTTAAACTGTGAAAGGCATAAGCCTTTCAAACATTATTGAACAACAGAACTGCCACCAGAATAGGTACTGGAAAACAGGTTTAAAAATATCAGGAGGAAGAGAACTTTGTTTTTCAGGACTTAACCTCTAACAAATTCTAACTCTAATTCAATTAAGATTAAAAAAAGCCCTCTCTTTGGGGAGAATACTTTATGAATACTGAGGGCAGGACACAAATTGAGATGATACCACAGACTGCTCAAAATACACCTTTTCCCATATTCTTCTAGCTGCCATTTGCCACTAAATTAAATTAGTGTAAATGGAACACCCTGCTCAAAAAAGAGACTTTGTAGAGTTTTTTAAAGCATGTTTATGTGACTGCACATAAATGTTTGTGTAAAAAGGGAGTTATGACAGTTTATACCACAAAGGTTACAGTAAGAAAAAGCACTTCTTTATGACAATAATTCACAAATTCACAAGAATCACTTTAATATACAAAGCAATTACTACCATTCTGAAACACAAAGCAGCTAATATGTACATAGTGTTAATAAAATGCATTATAACCCAGTACAATTCTTTTTAAACACAGATAAAGCACAAAAAAAAAAAAAAAAAAAAAAAAAAAAAAAAAAAAAAAAAAAAGAAAAAAAAAGAACACAACAGGGATGTTTCTAGATTTCTGGGGAGATGTAAAAAAGCCTTTATTTTTCCCCAATGATGGATTTTCATTTAATCTTTTAATTTCCACAAGTACGTGGGAGTCAAGCTCAAATACCCTGTTCTGTGCTGACATGGTTTGGGTAAAGAATCAGAAATGCAGATGAGGTGAACATACTCTTTCCAGCTTACACTACAAAGGGAGAATAATAACCCTTGCTCTGGAAGCTTCCCTGAAAAACATTGTTTCAAAACAATTTCAAATTATAAATCCAGAGTAGAAACAACTCATTTCTGAAGTGAACGACCAATCTGTGGAAAAAAGTCAGTGGAGGGGCTGGCTGCCAACTAGCACCTCTTCTTGTCCTGTTCCCATCCCAAGAAGTCCATTATAAGCAGCACAGTTTCAAATCTCATAAAAACTTGAAGTTGTAGAACATTTTAAAATTAACGTTTAAATATAAATAAATGTAATTAAACACACAAAAAATGGAGTGGCACCTGGATAAAAACACAGCTTGTGGAGAGCACCCGAACATCCTTAGTTCTTAAGAGTGGCCGTTTCCAGAGAAGCAACTGGCTCAAGGCGTGCCATCCCCATGCTCTCACGCAGCTATCCCCTAATTTAGAGGAATATGCAGCTGAGGCTGAGTGAACTGCTCGAGTCCTGAGTGCAGTGAATGCTCAGCTTATGGAGTGTGCCAGCCATGGGTCACTGCAGCCTGTCCCTGGCCCTTTCCCTGCCAGCACACAGCTCCCGAGGACAGCTGACTGCTCCTGCCTCTCCTGCTGAAAGCCAGCCCTGAACTCATGGCAGAGCAAGTCACAAAGCTGCGCCTGCAGTGCCACACAGCAAACAGGTCACTCTTCAGTTTGTGCTATGCCAACTAGCCCAAGCACATCTCTCTGCAGGCCACAGCTTAAATACATTTTAAAAACACATTCCAAGGCAAAACACTTGAAATGCAAACGCTCTTTACACCACCTGGATCTGGTCCCTTTTCCCCAAAGATTCACACACTTAAGTCTATCTATCCACAGACCTGAACCTGTCACAAGCACACAGAAGGTGGATTTCAGCACCCTCTCTTCACCAGTCTGGCTCCTTCCAGACCAACTGAGCTTCAGGATACATTCAGGCTTTTGTAAGATCAGTGTCTTTTACAACTAGCAAATTACACAGCTCAGAAAAATGAGTTCCCAGGCAGACGACAGAGAACCATCAATGTACTGTATGCTTTTTAAGACCTGCTCACAATGACAGACTTCAGGATTAAATTATCATCATTCCTGCTAAAGAAAGGTGGTTGTGCTGTGCTTTTCTTTTCAAGCAAGGTGGCACACTGTCAATGTACCTTTACTTCCTGGTGTCAAATTACTGGAAAGCCTTTCGATTTATTTTCTTGGAATGCAGCTTGTAAAATCCACAGACAAATATCAAATCAACAAAAGGGGAATAAAGTGGCTGAAAAATAGTTCAGCTTTCCTTCCAAATTAACCTCCCTTTCCCACATGGGATCACTGAACTAGTTCTACTCTAAAAATAATTTCACATCCATCCTCTACATACTGCTCCAGACACCACACGCTTGATTGTTGCCCCTTCAGCTCCCCTGCCCTTCTGAAGCAATGCCTGCTGGGCACCAGGTGCTGATCTGCAAGTTCAATTAGCCAAGGAGTCAGCTGCTGTGGAGGAGTGAATTGTGTGCAGGCAGCAGGATCACAACTATTATGCCAGAAATCTCAAGCAAACCAAATTTACCTTAATTTTTTTTCCTCTGTTTGTTGTTTTTTTTTTCTTTAAAAGTGCACATTTTAATTAAACATTTACGAAGAACATAGTGTAACAAAAATAAATACATGACCTTTTGGTTGGATCATTGGCAAATGTTACGTCACTAACCAGGCTCCAGGGTAAAAAAAATACAATAAAAACAAGGTCTTAGAAAATTGATTAAATCCTCTATGAACTGTCATAGATTTGCAACCACTGATATCAAACTTGCTTTGATGGATGGACTTGTCTTTAAACCACAAAAAACAGTCTGCCATAAATGAAAAAACAAAAAAGTGGGTGCCAGTTTTCACTAACAGATGACTAGTTGCTGCTGCAGTTTACTGGAAGCCCAGATTTAAAAAAAGCCACCTGTGGTACAAATTTAGGTCAGAAACTATCAGGGCTGTTTTTCCTTATTAAATCTTTTTTTTTTTTCCTGAGCCTCTTAATGATTCCAAACACCCCACCAATTTTCTGACCAATGTACACGTACCAGAGAAGACAGTGATCTCCAATGCAAATGCCAACTCCAGGCTAGCCAGAACTGCAGGTGTCTGAGCAGTCCTGACAAGCACAACAGGCTAAAATTGTGCTTTCGGATACAAGCAACGGTGCCGGCAACTACCCAGTGCTGGTGAAATTGCTGCCTAAGGAAGAATGCATCACCACTACCCCAGGAGGAAAACAGAAGTCTTACCAGTGGTTCCTTTAGAAAATAACACCTTAACAACCTTTCCAAATGTTTTGCCTTTGATATATAGCTGCCAAAGAGAAAAAGCACAGAAGTGAATTACTCTGGGTGGTGGTGGGTGTAAAACAACTGTTTACATAATTTCAAAAATCTTCATCAATAAAAAACAAACTTCACAAAAGCCACGAAAGATGAAATAAAATTCTTGAAAATGGGTAACTGAGAGACAGCACAAAACAAATCAGTAATTAAGAGCTAGAATAACGCGCCCAGAGCTACTGGGGTGAGGGGAAGCTTTCACACACACACACACACACACCCACACCCACACACACCCAGACACACAGAAAAGTAAAAATTCTTTTTCTGACCTCCATATACTATAATACTCAGCATTCCTGACTTAAAAGCTCTCAGAGCTGTAGATTATATACTGTGTGTATATATATATATATATGTACATATATTATACATATGTATTTTCCAAGAATATCTAAATTAAAAGAGCACCTTTGACAATATCTTAACTGCCTGATTGGTGCTGTTGTTTTGCAAAATAATGACATTACAAAAATTATATTTCAAACCAATTCTTGTTTATTATGAACGTAACGGATCTAGCCCTTTCTAACCCTCTCTTCAGGTCAAAGAGTCTATCAGGTCTCGAAAACTCACAACCGTGAGATACAAAACTAATCCTCCCTCCCCCTTGTCAGCATCATTTCCATCCTACTTCCAAATGGCCTTAGTTAATAGAAGCTTATCACCCCAACCTCACTACTTGGTAAATAACATAGGAACGGATTCCTGTGTCATATTCTTTCCCTTTTTGGGTCAGTAGGAATAGTAAAGCATGTATGGGTAGCCTAGCCAGCCCTATACTTGGTCTAATACATTTTTTATTATTGTAATCTATAACTTTCATTAAATAAATTTGTGTCCCATAATCCTCAGTGCAGCATAAATAAAAATAAAGATTCTTGCAGACCCCTATGTGCTCTGAATTACATTCCTTTTCTTAGTGGAACTTTATTTGCTAATGAAGTCTAGGCTAAAACCACTACAGGCCACTTGCAGACCACACACAGACAAACGGGTAACACAGTTCTCCTCTCACTGCCACACAAGTTTGCACAGTGGATGAGGAGAACCCCATCTGGGCACTGTTTTGGGCTCCCATGCCCATTCAGCCCCCAGGTTTGTGCCCAGCGATTATCAGCAAGCTCTGGACAGTGTTCATTACCCACTAGACACAGCTCTCAGAGCCCAGCTTGCCTTGTTCAGGGTCACTGCAAAACCTCACATTTTTTGCAAACAGATGTCCTACAAAAGAAACAGCCTTAATGTGGGCATATGCAGCCTTTTCTGTGTTCCTCAAAGCTGGAGGAACCATTCCCTGTAATTGCAAATGAGGCCACCATGAGCTTCATGCTTTACAAGAATGACTCCTGTGTTATCAACATTTCTACTTCAGTACTCGTTCTGGAAAATGTAACCGTTTTATGTATTTGTATTTGCTGATTTTAACAATCAGATAGTTTCTATAAAAGCACTGCTGAGAACTTAGGGTCTTCTTTACATTTGCACTGCTAAACTAATAGATTCATCTCCCATTAAATAAAACCACAAAAATCAACTCTCTATGGCAGATAAAAATAGACCATTTATAAACACCCACAAAACTTGTGAAAGTGAATTATTTCATATTTCTGATGCTTATGTTCTTTTCTTGAAATACAAGTGTAATTTGAAATTCCTGATAATTCTAGATGTAACAATAATGCTGTAAGTTTAACCCTGCTCCTTTTAAATTAAGTCTCTTGGAAACTGAATGCCCCCTCAAATGAGAAATCTAGAACTTTTAATACTGCTTAGGTGTTTGAGACTCAACTGCCCAGAGTCTTCCAAGTATTTTCCTTACAACATCACACTGATTATATAATCTTTTAGAAGCCTGTGTGTAAAATTTATCTTAAAAAGATATAGAGTGAACGGGAAAAAAATATTAGCTAATACTCTGCTAGGCAAGGCATTAGTCTAGACGACAGCCTTATCCACACGTTTCTATACATAAAAGTTTGACCAGAAGCCCAAAGTAAACTTACTCCATCAAATGACCCAAGTTAACACAGTGAGAGACTGGCTTCAGAGGGCCAGTACACAAACTGCACATGATTCTTTTGGACACATTCTTTTTAACAACTTCTTGATATTCTTTTTTGGTTTCTTTTGAGCATGATTCTTTTAAAGTCCTAATGCTTAGTACAGAGTTTTTTTAAAATATGGACTACCTTTTTTAACACCATATATCTGGGAAAGACCACAGTTCCTCAGTGCACAGAAAAAACCCTGATCTTGCAAATATCTGAGGCACGTAAGTAATTTTAGTTGCAGGAATAATCTGACCCTTTCCATGAAAAAATACCCCAAATAAATTAAGAGTTTAGCTAATCTGGCCAGGTTCAAATAATCAGTATTTTCCCTTTCAAAGCAGGAGTTGGAATATTTGTGTTTGAAGTCCTCTTTAATATTTGAGGTTGCCCTAGTAGTTGTTATACTACAACTTAATTTACGTATAGAAGGCAGCCTCAAAGTTCAAAAAAGAATTTAGCAAACCAGGCTGATATTTCTATTGAGTACAATAATTTCCATTGCATAAGACAGCAGTAGGGAAATAAAAACAACTTCATTGCTTGAGAGGACTTGGGACACAGACCATACTGTCTTCAGGGAGTACTTAAGTGGAATTGGCTATGCTTCAACTGCTTAGTTGTTCTGCATACAAATAGGTAGTGCTTCAATGTGTTACCCCTGTTTACTATGTGACTGTTTACAGAACATGACAATTGCATCTTTTTAAAAAAATTTCTTTCCCATCCAAATATAATTTCCCAACCTATATCCTATGAAATTGGTGTCTGTTTTCTGTGCATTCAGAACGCTGAACGCACTTGCACACATAAACTACGAGAATCAACAACTGACCAGTGAAGCTCATTTCAATGCATTTGTTTCTGAAGTATGGAGAAGGTTTTACTAGTGCAGGAGGGCTTAATACAGATTGCAGATGAAACCCCCTCCTGGGCTAGTTTGAAAAGGTCTGTTATCTCCACCCCAAGAAGGTGACAGTGAAGTGCCCCTCACGAACGTGTGACACCTCCGTGGCAAGCACCGCTTCTTCACCGCAGCACGCATGCTCCACCTATCGGCCCACCGTTCTCTGGACCAAGAGGCTGGGGTGCCTCTGTCTCTAAGGCAATGGAAAGAGCTCAGCACAAATTTTTGACATCTTTACAAAAGGACCCTCCCCACAGTAACTCCCCAAGTGACCACTGTTACTCCTTGAAGAGGATCGGGAGACGAGAGAGAAGCCTGTTCTTCTTGACGCTGAGATTGATGATGAAATTCATCTTGTAAGGGGAGAAGTGGAGGCAAGTACTTGAACATTCACAGTTTGATGCAAAGCACAGATGAAGTATATTCTGTAGTTGCTTCAGGCAGTTTTGCGCATAGAAAAAAAGAAATGTTTAGAAAATAAAAAGTTTACTTTGTCTTTCTGGGTATAGCCAGAACCAGTCTCTATCCCACCTGGACAAGTGAAAATGAGAATCCAAAATTAATCTGATTTGTGGCAGTAAAGGTCCTTAAGTGCTTTCAACTCCTCAATCAGTGTCTTGTTTTGGTTTTCAAGCACAGCCACTCGATTTTCTAGACATTTCACATACTCCTTTTTCTTCCTGCGACATTCACGTGCTGCCTCTCTGCAAAGCAAAAAAGGCTGTTCAAATCCAGAACAATCATTTGCAGACATGGGCTACCTAACTGCTTTCAGGCAAACCTTTACTAGTACTGCCATTTTCAGAACATGGAGGTACTGCTAAGAAATGCAAGCGAGGAAAAAACACTGAGCTCATAACAACTGCTCCTCACAAATCACACACACTCAAGATCCACATATCATTTCAACACAGAGATCCCAGTGAGACAGCACCAGTAAAATTATTATTATTATTATTATTATTATTATTATTATTAATTTTGTGAGCAAAGGATCCTAATCAGTGATAAAATTTTGTTTGCAGGATTCACATTGGAGCCTTTAGGCTGAGTAAAATGCTGCTGCAATAATTTGACTTTATTATTGTCTATTATTCTTTTTACACTCTTTAACGTTTCCCTTTGCTGCAGTCCAACAAGATGATCAACTGGTGTAAAAAAGTGCTGTATTTAGAGCATTCATGTATTGCTCTTGAGCAATGCTTTCATTTTAATAATGATGTTTGCATCACTGCACTGATATTATTAATGACTCAAATAAAAATGAAACACAAAAAATATCACAAAAGAAACAGTAGGAACCAAGAATTCTTTAGTCCCTGTCAGCCATGCCAAAAACAGACCTCAAGATAGTCAAACTTCTAAGTCTTGCTTGTAAAGAGTGAGCTGCCTGTAGGTAACTTGGTAACATACCAAGAACATCAGTAAAAAATAGCAGAAGGTATTAATGTGCTGCTGAGCATCCTGAAGGCAGGAACACCAAGGCAGGAATACCCTGCACAGCAATATAATGGCACCAACGTGCAAAGGAAGCACAAGGCTAAATGCCACGGGCAGATGGGAGCCCAGGCAGAGGGCTCTCCTCCTGCAGTGCCACTTGTCCAAGCAGCACTCTGCAGACACAGGGAAATAAACACTTACTTGCCCTGAACCTTTAGGTGCAAAGCAGAACAGCTTCAAAAATAAGAGCCTGTGCACCCTTTCACTGCAAACACTACACAGATTGGTGAGAGAGTCAGTCTTCTGGGAAATGAGAGGACAAATCAGAACTCAGTTCCTCCCCTTATTAGATAAATAGGAGCTGTAAAAACAGAATGCATTCCAGGACCTAACTGATAAGAAGCCTCTAAAGTGATTTCTGAAATTCAGCTCCACAAATGAGACACGATGAAGAAACCATAGCCTGTAAGCCCTGAAAGGACTCAGCTATCCATTTGTCACTCCCACAAATACAATTTCACATGCCCGCAGTGCTTCAGTAAACCATCTGTAACATTTAGAATTGAAGTAATTTTGGGCTGTTACCAAAAGATTAAGTACTAGGGGATGAGGAAGTGCCTCCCAGTGCAAACTACTAACAAGTCTCCTTGGGTGACAACATTTTCTTTCTGTGATTTTTTTTCCCCCTTAGGCTGTATATATTAAGCTACCTCAAGTCTGTGCTAGTGTGTGCTAGTTGTTCATTATGAACAGCCAGAGTTTTACTGAATTACAACAGAGCTTTAAAAATGTAAAATTTATACAGAAAATTTGCACAATAATATCTATGAATATTTACACTATAATCCTCCAGTAAGTACCACCTTACCATCTGCCTCTCTATCCTTTTTCCCCACTTTGCTATGGAGCTTAGATTTGCAAATATCTATTAAGCAGACAGGCTAAAAGCACCACATGCAACATGATACTGTTGCAAAAGCTGTCAATTTAACTCAAGTGGAGTAATTCCCCATTGTTTTTCTTGGCTTTCACAAACACAAAAGCTTTCTTTTACTGGAATAAGACTGATGACTAAATGAGGGTATTCTGTGATCCTAATTAATTTTTTTTTCAAATGCAGAGCCTGAAAGAGTGATATCCACTATTCACTGGTATGAGAAAACTATATAAAAAGGGAAATGGGTGACATTCTGTACAAAAACCTTTTAAAAAAGTGACCTCTGCTGTTCAGCATTATTTACTTCATTAAAGCCCCTTGTATAAGCACCAGGTCTGCTCAAATAAGTTTCCATTATGTTCACAGCACAGCAACCTACAGAAGATAAATGAACCTGCACAACATCAGTTTTTTCAGGCTGACAGATGAAGTTAACAAGGCTTTCAGGGGGCTTCCCCTGCTCAGAAGGGTGGGAAGCACTGGACTCTCAGTGTCACAGTGGAACACACAGGCTCTGATCTGTGGCCTGTGGGTAAGAATTCAAGCTTGGTGTGATGGGCCAGTTCAGGCCCACCCCTTCCCACTCCCACAGCAACAGACTTCAGGAGCATCCTGCTCAATTCTCCCTACAGCTCCCTTCCTTTGCTACTTCCACCCACTCCCACCTCTAAGCTTAGCTGTTCCTCCTACACACTGGATCCCACAGGACCAAGTCTTTACCTTTCTTTTAGCCCCTCTGCTGCCACTACTGGCTCCACAGGACTTCAATCAAAGGAAGAGTTGCTCACTTAGCCTTTGCTTGAGCCCTTCTGCCCCTGGAGGGGAAAACCCAAAGCGGCTAAAAGAACAAGTGAGACAATCAAGAAAGTACTCACAAGGAGCACACGTGGGCCAGCAGCAAGGCTAAGGGAGAGTATCCAGCCAGGTAAACCACATGAATGTAGTAACTCAAAAAAAGCAACTCATCTTGGTGTTTGTAGATCTGCAGTCATCTCACCAATTACTTTTTCCTTACTGCAACAACCAAATTCACACACCTCACAGAATGAGTCTGACTCTTTACTCGAGGTTTCACAGTCGCACCACACAGCACTAGCAGATGTGCATTTCTGCTTTGCATCTTTAAATAAAGGCAAATTCTTCAAAAAGCATTTCATAGCATGGCTAAGAAAGACCAGCACTCTGAGCACTCGACACTCTAGGCCCGTGCAGAGCTGGCTGGGCAGCAGCAGTGACGTGCATGTACGTGCCTGTTCTTCATCAGCCGCACTTCCCTCTTCCGCGCGGCCTCCTCTGCCGGCTGCGTGGGGAGCGCTGGGGACGACGCCATGACCACTCCTGGCGCAATGGTGCTGGTCGGGGCCGTGCGGATCTGGTAGGTCTGCACGTCTCCTGAGGCAGCTGCAGGGACACACGGGAACGTGACATCAGTCTGGTGACAGCGCTGTCACACGTGCTGTGCAGAGCGCCCACTCATCTCTCTAGCCTGTCCTCTCCCGAGCACAGCTCGCTCTGTGACCCAGCCATCTGGGCCACAGCTCAGGAGCGACGGCCATCATCTGGGTCACCACTGCCACCTCAGGCTCAGTGTATTCATGTGTGCAATGTTTTGGGCATGCCTGCTGAAGAAGTCTTCACTTGTGCTTGGTAACTTGATTTGTCTTGCAGCATAGCTGTGCTTCTTTCTCCCTTATTATATTTTTTTGTACTGCTCTGTTTTTTGGGCAATTTCAGCATTTCTAGAGAAGAATGGGCATCACTATTTCTAGCTATGCTCCAAATGTTTGTCTGGAAAAGGAGGAACTGCAGGTGTAAGTATCTAACATAGAAAAAAAGCAGTGAAAATGTAGCATTTACTCCCACAAGAGATGGACAGTGCATTCTGTTGCTTCTCTAGAATGAGCAAGGTCTTGGCTTTCTTTTACTTCATTAATTTTAATCTTAGGAGTGTGTTAATTTTGCCTGAGCTCATAATAAACCACAATACCACCTAAAGAAATCATATGTCCTTAAGAACACAAAAACCCAAAGATCAATGCAACAACAGTACTCTTCTCTGCTATGCATTTTTACTGATGCCTGGTAAACTCTTCACTGGATAACTTTCACATCAACTACTTTACACTCATAGAAGCCGGGGTGCACTTCTGTTATTTTCAATAAAAAATTTGTAACACTCCTCAATTTTTAATAAACCAAAGTATGTATTTTGATACAATAGGTCCCCACAACTTACTCTAAGTGAAAGTAGCTCTGCCAAGCTGAGAGCTACCAAATGATCACTTAAGGCACTCTCCTAAATTGTTCCATGATTCCAAGACTCACCGACTGAGTCACTCACTCAGTGACTAGTTAAAGAGTCACAGTAGGAAGAAATTCTGACTTGCAATTGAAAAAAGGGAAAAATTACTAATAAATTAAAGTGTCCTTCTAGAAAGAATCAAACATACCTCTCTCCTGTCTTTAATGCTTGCTTGAAATTTCCTATTGCTGCACATACAGAGAACTCAGAACTCTAAAGTGATATTAGTTTTTGCAGAACATATAAAAAAAATCGTGTGGACAAAATGCAGGAAATACAGCATGGAAAAGCAAAAATAAATATATTAAACCTCAAATATCCACAGTTTTACCAATCTAAAAGGAAAGGCTTAAAAAATATGACAAAGAGCTTTGTCCAGAATCTCAGTAATTTTATGTACTTATCTGTGCCAAAGCTGTTAATTCTGCTTCCTGACACATTTGAAGGAGTCAGGCTGGCAACTTATATCTGCACAGAGAAAATGCTACACAGAATGAGTGGCTGTGAGGTTTCTCACCTTGTACAACAACTTGGTTGCTGGGTACAAGTATCTGCTGTCCGTCTGTGGTCTGTGCATATTGTAAAATGGTGGTGCCAGGTTGGGTTGCAGCTGCATTGGTCATTGTCAACGTCTGGAGACCTTGTACTCCATCTGTGCCATTGTTAGACAACTGTATTGCTCCTCCTTGGGTGATGGCAACTGCAGACAAAAAAAATCAACCCAGCATTTAAGACTCATTCACTCATTAACTTACAGTATTAAACCTAGGTGTGGAAGAATATTGATCTAAGCTAAATCATTTGAACCCTTACACACCCCCAAATCAGACACATGGCTTCAATGTACATGCAAGAAATCATCCTTTGAAAGGTAAGTTTTCAAATGTTTGTGAGGGCCAAAACCCACAGCTAAAATACAAATTAGTTTCTCTAATAAAACAGAATTACATGGAAGAGCTACAATCCAACCCCAGGGAATACTTTTTAATTTGTTAAGATTTTCTTCTTGGTTGGTTTAGGTATTTTTCTCAGTCCTTAGTTTTTCTTCTCTCCTGAAATTCCTCGCTAATAAAACAGAATTACATGGAAGAGCTACAATCCAACCCCAGGGAATACTTATTAATTTGTTAAGATTTTTTTCTTGGTTGGTTTAGGTATTTTTCTCCTTAGTTTTTCTTCTCACCTGAAATTCCTCTCATCTTCTGTGCTTTATACCCTTCAGTCTCCTCTGCTGCTAGTGCTATCCATCTTGTGTTTCACTTTCTTCTTGATTTGGCATTTTATTTTCCTTCTGATTGTGTCCCCCCTTCTCTACAACTTCCTGAGACCCTTACTAGCTGTTTTACCATTCATAAAGGTACAGTTTGGTTCAGGCAGTCTTAACTTTGCTGTTTTTTCCCTTTCTTTCCCTCAATCCTGTCATGCAGGTATACTGGGGCACCACCCCTTTTGTGACTCACAGAATTCCACTGTGTTCCTGTATACAGACACACCAAAATGTCAAGTGTCTGCACACGCAGTTATTGTACAGGTATAACAGGAATCAGAATTAACCACATCCATTTCAATAAAATTGAGCAGGATACAAAGCAAAGGGGTTAAGGATTAAACAGAGATACAAAATTTTAAAGAGATTTTGAGAGACAGATGTAAACAAGTAGTTCTTTCTCCCTTCTGCATGTGTTGTATGTGCCTCCTACTGTATGGTTAGTGTGAGACTGCATGTGTCTTATCTTTAAGGCCATATCCTCAATCATTTTTCAAGTGAAAACACTGTATCTATAAAATCTAACACAGAAAACACAGAAACATGTACTTATGACATATATTAAGGTTGTCAACGACCTTCTTTTTTCAGGACTTTCTAAAAATGTAATTGCAGACCGTAATGTTTTTTTTCTAATGATGAGGTTACAGAATTGTGAACAAGTATTAATGATCTGCCAAAAAAAAAAAAAAAAAGAAACTTCTGAATTCCGCCATCTAGCTCCTGAAGTGAAGAAGTTTATAACAGCATTATGGTTAGTTCCTGTTTTGCCTCAGGATGCATGAGCTGCACCAAGTGGCAAGCAGTCCCAGAATGTTAATCGAGCCTTTCAAACACTTACAATAGAAATGTGTTCAAAAGGCCTGGTTAACAGTCAAAATAAAGTAATCTTTTTTTCACCTCCTGCTTTGTCCTAGTCCAAACAACAGTTACAGAAATAGTAAGTTCTTCATCTTCTCATCCCCACTTACTAGCACCACTGAGAAATTCAGACTACATACTGTACTGCCCACTGCTGGTTTGGTAAATGGGAGTTGGCACCGTAACAGTGGCGATGGCAGGTGCTGCTGTTTCCTCTTCAGACTTTTCTTCTTCGATCCTTGGCACTCCTGGGGCGTCTGAGGACAAGTCATTCAAAATTTTTCTGGCAAAGACAGTGTGTTGTAGAGATTTTAATAAAAACTGGGGGAGAAAAATAGTCTATCTGATACACAATGCTGGGGAAAAATGTGAAGTGCAGGAAGCCAGCAAGGAAAATATGAGTGGAGAATGAAAACCACACACTATCTTCAAACTCTTATTGGAGAGGCTTGTTCAAAATGCCAAGCACTGATGGGCAAGGCAGCCAGCACAGAACAGCTGTGCTTGTCAAAACCCGTGATACAGATATTACAACCTTCCCTTTTTCTTCAGAGCATGCTTCTCTCATCCATTTTTATTTGTTTCCTGCTTTTAGCCATATAAATATTTGGGGAAAAAAAAGTCAGAACCTGTCTCCTCACTTGCATTGGGGGAACTGCTCCATTTCAAAGACTATAAACACCTCAGCCCGAGAGCTGAGTACCAAGGGAGTTAGCAGGAATGCTTGCAGAGAGCCAGCAGTTCATAATTTAACACCTGCCTGGGAGACAATACCCAGTATTTGAGAACAGTCTCACAGTTATGTTCACAGGTGCCCTGCCTGAGAAAGTTCATGGGTAAAGGAAAGAACAGATTGTTTCATTATTTTCATGAGCTAATTATCCAAAGTCAAAACTTCTAAAACATCACTGCTAAACATGACTGTAGAGTGACCACAGCAGTCACTGCCATTTGCATCACTGAGATCAAACACTGTCCTTCCTCAGAGGACTGTCAAGCCCTTTCCACTGCTGGCATATTTTATTACATCACAGTGAAGTGCAGTAAATGCCTCTAGGTAAAGGGCAATATTTTTTGTAATTCTCCTCCTATGTTTTCCAGTGGATTGGCACAGGAACTCAGTGGCAAAGCAAATACAGCTGTAGACCCCAAGTTCCAAGACAACACTACTTTCTTAGGCAAGCCTCCCAAGGCTGTGGGAGCCAGAACACCTCTATGAAGCTATCTGGGGAGAGCAGTCATTCTGCTTAGCAGCTTCACAAACAGAGCTTTGCTGTTGCTGTTTTGACTGTGTGTGCATGCAAGAAATAAAAAATTCCCATCCAAAGAGTTTGCAATCTAGGTGTTAGATCAGAAACTAGTGAATGAAACAGATGAAAAAATATGGAGAGAGCTGGGATGATGAAGAACAAAATCCAAGGAGATAATAAAGTCACTTTTTAACCTCAAGTCATTATGACATGGTGGTTAAAACCTTCCTTTGCCATCATAAAAATGGATTTAAGGTAAAGGATAAGGTGGCAGCTTTACAAATACAGGAGCTATGAACTGATGGAATACATGATGCACTTTGGTAGCAGAATCACAGAGGAGATTTTGTGGAAGAGGTATAGCTTTCAATTCTGTGAACATATCTGTACCTATCTTGTTTCTGGGGCCAGTTACAGCAGGTTGAGTAATGCCAGCTGGGAAGTCACTAAAGACAGCAGTGCTCTGGCTCAGCCTTTCTGACCTAACCAACACCAGCCCGGAGTCTGAGCTGCATACACAAGTTTTACAGCTAACAAATGTTGCTGCGTCACCACGATCTGGTTTGAAGACAGAGGCTGTGTTGTGGCACCAGTGCAAAACAGTCCATCTCAATGAGAAGTCAGCAGGCACAAGCACCCTCTTCTCAGTTTTGCTGCTTGTTTACTTAGCTCTGTTTTCTCACCATATATAGCCACTCTTCCATATACAGTAAAATCAAGTGTCTTGCTGCAGAAGCAGACTGAAGGGAATCTGTGGCAGCCTTGAAGCTAATACTGCTCCTCACAAATAAAAATATTTTTCCAGATCTATTATGGCTAGGGATCTCCAGCAATGATTTTCACTATTTTTGGCAGAATAGCCTTGAAGGCTGCTGGACAAGGCAGATAATAATCTTCCAAGTGCTAAAAAAGTACCATGGTTGAGATATGCTCAGGTCTACAGCCCAGCTTCTATTTCCAAGGATATGCTCATAAAGGAAAATGGAGCATCTGAGTTTTCTAAAGCAGCAGGAACTCACAGGTCATTTAAAACCTACTGAACCCCAGAGCTGTTCCTTAATGCTATTTGCTATATTTTAAGAATGAAAATGGAATTTAGTACAGACACAAAAAAGCTGTACAAAGGCTTAATTAATAAAGTAACATGACACACCACGTGAAGGAGAACCTCAGCTGATTTTGCCAGAGGTATTCGCCATGAGAAAGAGACACTAGATACCTTTCACTATATTCAACTCATATACTGACTTAACTTTAAACACAAACTATTTTGCTCAAGCAGAAATTTTCTCTGAGCTATGGAGCATCACAGCTTCCTTAAGTCTCATGGGAGAAAGGAATTAAGTTTGATTCCTGCTAGCATTTCAGCAATGAAAACCAGTAGAGTTGATTTTTTGCAGACTACAGTTTACACAGAAGTCCCTTTTTGCAAAGCTTCAGTGTATTTTGTATATTAAGTATTCATTAATATACATTCATTAGACTACAGTTTACACAGAAGTCCCTTTTTGCAAAGCTTCAGTGTATTTTGTATATTAAGTATTCATTAAAGCTATTTCTAAGGCATCTACCACAATGATACCTCAATTTTCTGAAATGTAGCAATTAGCATATTCTCAGCTCACTTCTGTCTTAAGTGAGTGCAACTGCTGAGGTTTCTTCCTCCTGCTGCTTATCTCTTAACATCCTATTCCATGGACATATTCCGTATTCCAATTGCAAGACATGATAGAACAGAGATTTCAGTTAAATGGTAAATCTAAAAATAATAATAATACAATCCCACTGTTTGTATCTCCATGTGAACACACCCATCCATCAAGAAATGCTTCTGCTTTAACCTCCCTACCTGTAGGAGGGTCGTCTGGACAGAATTTCTCTTCGTTTCTGTGAGTCTGTGACACTGTCTACTGATTCCTGTGAATCTTCACTTTCTGCTATAGTGGAGATCTGTAAATAAGAACAGCAATCAAATTTAACAAGACACTTCCAATGCCTTCATTTTAAGGAAATGTTGACATCCTGTGAAAAACACCACAATGCAAGTGTTCTAGGTAGACAATGAACAGAAAGTCACTGCTTAGTAATAGATCCAGCAAAGAATGATCACAGTCAATGATCTACCCATCAAAATGTTCTTTAGAATTTAAATACTCCAGTAAGAAAACCTAATAAATAAAACATTAATACCATATGGTTTTTGCCTTCCATGATGTTTTGTTTTCATACATTGCAAGGAAACAAAGATTTTCTTTTTAGTAAAATTTAGGGAGAGAATAAGTAAACGAAATTAAGGTAGTAGAAACGTTTGCAAACAAAGAATATAACAGTGACAAAACATCAATTTATAAGTAATGAGGTAGATATATTAAAGAGAGACTGCCTTTTATGGGGGAAATTGCCAGGAAAACGTCATACATGAAGATATTAAAAAATAATGTAGTGCTGCCATTCTGAATATCTGTGCTAAAAAAGCAGAATGTTTATGCAGAAAAGCTAAAATAAAAATCATATTAAAATAATTTTGGTAATTTTAAATTTGAAATGTGCATGACAAAATATATAAAAGCTAATGCTGCTTATGTGAGAAACAGAGCTCACATCCTGACAATTTATGCACTATAGAGAAGATTCTTAAAGGCTCAAAAAAGTGCTCTTTGCTGGCACCCACATCTCACAACTGTCAGATAGAGGGCCTGAATATGTCCAAGGCTGACTGTGAACTACTGGGCCCTGAATATCAAAACTCGATGGATCTGCATTGAACCAGGTGAATTCCAAGAACAGCTTCATTGTCAGTCTCTTATCTTCTACCTGCAGGGTAGCAACTTGTGCACTTATCTCAAAACTGCTCACCTCAGATAGATTAAAACTCTAAACTTTTGACTGCAATGGCTGAGGATGGTAGAGCCTGCCACAAACTCAGCACTGAAGCTGAGAAGGAAAAAAGAGAGATTATTATCAGAATGGTCTAGTTTTTAATTACGCATACCTTATTTTTAAAAATAATACCCAGTTGAATATCTCTGTCAAAAAGTCACAATAACTACTTTTTGAAATTAAACATTTTTTGAGCTAATTGTTCTAACAGCAAATGAATAATGTACAGTCCTTGTCCTGTGGTGTAGCTGCTGTACACCAAAAAAAAAAATCTGCATTCAGTAACACTGAACTTCAAATGGATAAAAAGCAAGTTAGAAGCTTTAAAGATTTCAGACTGCTTGTCTCCTATCTTCAGGTTACCCCACCATATTGCATTACTGTCTTGCTTCAGAGAAGAAACAATGCTAAGGCTTCACAAAGCACACAACACTCAACCAGCACATTTTAAAACCATTTCTCTGTAAGGACTGATAGATTTATTTTAAGAACCAGTAACATACAGAGACCTTTTTTGTAAACCAATGCAAATACTCCTTACTGAGCAAAGAATCTTATTCTAGAATACTGGTCTCATTTATTATTAAAAATGACAATATTTTAAAAAAATCATACTTTTGTTCACTTCAGAATAGTATGAATTCTTACTCAATAAAAATATATGTAAATACAGTACAGAGAAAAAAATAGAGTAACACTGTAAGAAAAACCATAAAGCTGTTAAAGTCACCAAACAAATTCTAGATGGAAATGAAACTCAGCAGTGTTTGAAAAGTGGTTAAGCCAGAACAGAAAAAAAGTCAGAGTAGCAAATACTGTACAGATTTGCAAAAACACAACCCAGGACACAAATACATTAAAACCAGTGCAATGACAGGCCTATTTCAAAGGCCCAATTCACATATTAGGAATTTCTTCAGTCAGTACCTGAACTGTCTGGACCTGTGGAGACTGAATAACTGATGGCTGGGCAGCCTGAATTACTCCATGCACTTGAACCGTCTGCCCATTGGGCAGCTGAACTAAGGTCACCGTGGGTGCAGAAGATGTTGCATGAGCTGCTGGCATAGATACCTGCAAAGAAGAGACAGTGAGCATAAATTAGGTTATTGCAAAATCTCCTTAGTTCAGTGTTTGTTTTGGTGAAAGAACTATGTCTCTTCTAGACCCCAGTCAGATGACCCAAATGTTTCGGCGTAATGTAAAACCCCCTGAACTGCCTGAGCCCAATACCTGACCTACTTCACAAAATAATCTAATGCAGAATTTCTGCAGGCTCAAACATAATTTGTAAAATCACTGAGAAGAAGAAAAACACAACTGCCTCTATTTTGAGGTAACCTGATACAAACATATCATTACCTTTCACTTACTTCACTTGGATACTGCTCAGACTCGGGTGTACTCCTACAGACACTGCTGAATCAGAGACAGAAACATATGGGAGTGGAGCTATTTTTGTTCTCACTCAGAAAAATGCAAAGAATTTGCCAGATGTAAGAATTTAACATTTTTAGGGAATCATACCTTTCACCTTGTACAGATTAAGCCATATGAGTAGCTGGCAAAGTGCATGTAAATGAAGAAAACTGATCATGTGCTCAGACAGAAAAACCCCATGAGTTTGCAGTGGAAGTAAGTATTTTGCAGACAGTCACTGTGATTATTGTGTAACAGGTCAACACAAACTCTACTTTCAAGAATTACTTCTATGAGGAAAAAATTGCCCATGTTTTAAACACAACTGTTTCTCCAGCTATGCCAACACTGATGCCCTCAGCGTGGCACATTATGGCTTTGGGGACAGCAGTAGCCACACAGAGCTGTTCGTGCACACGGGGCAGTCTCACCCTGGCAGGCCACAAGAACTACCCTGGGCAGTGAAGTGCCATGTACCAAGGCTGCTCCGTGGCTGGGCCCACGCCCAGTGCACATCCAGAACCAGCAGCTGCCTGCTGACAGGGTGCCTGGGTCAGGGGCTGGGGGCTCCTGAAAGGCTGCAGGGTGCAGCACACCCTGCCCCCAGTGAGCATCCCTGCCACGCCACGGCCCTCAGGGAAGGACTGCAGGCAAGCGTCAGCTGCTCTGGCAGACCTCGTGGCTCTCTCGCCAGCTTTCTTCTCGTCACCCAATGTGGAAAACCTAACAATGCTCCAGGGTTCAAGAGCATTCAAAAAAAAATTCGATCCACATAGCTGCAGAATGCTCCAGGGTTCAAGAGCATTCAAAAAAAAAATTCAATCCACATAGCTGCAGTGCAAGAAAGGGCTGCACTGCTGTCCTACCTCATCTCAAAGGACTGCTAAGTACTGGATGCAGAAGGAAATCCTCTGCTGTCCCCGTGAACACGTGATTCTCAAAAAGCTGCCATAGCTCATCTCTGAATTTTCATAAACATCCACCACTTACAATGAAATCTTGTTTAACAACAAAATTAAAGGGAATTACATGCAGACCTCTCTCCTCCACAGCTGTCTCTCCCTAATCCACCAATTTGCATTTGCTTTCACCTTCCTTTTTCAGGAAAGCAGATGCAGCATTACATGGTGCTACTTAACTTGCATCTGAGAGAAACTGGGCTGAGATTAACATGAGAGCCCTTTCCTCTGACAAATTCTATTCCTTTACCAAGTGACCTTTCTTAATAATGCATGTCTGACTAAAGAGTCCTTGGCAATGATAGCAAAGCTGATCAACTGGAGGCCACTGTGGTTGGATTAAGCCCACAGCAGAGTGTAACTTCCGCACATGTCTCTGACTCATACCTTGTGGAACTGGGACGAGTTTCCTTCTGACTCTGAATGCTACTCTGAACTCACTAAAAACGCAGCAATTAAACTAAGCTTGCAAGAGGGGTGACCTTACAAGAGATAATGGAAGAATTAAATTGATATAATTAGTTATTTAGCTTTGGCTAGGCCTCTGAGGGCACTCCCTAATGCCAAACACTGCCACTTCACCTATTAAAAATATCATAGTAACATAACACTGATGTGAACAACACATGTTTAGACTGTTTTATCACCTCCACAAACTCTGCACAGGCTGGGCAAAAACCAAGGTGCAGATAATATAGTGAATGACAACATGGTGGTTCACGTGGATTTTAACCATACTTGTAAAGTGTTTTATTACTTGGAAAAAAGTCTCATTCAAGTGCTGGGGTAATTATGTCCGAGTAAAGTGCATTCTACCCACTACATACTTTTAAGTTCAGCTCCCTGGAGGTTAGTATGTTAGCACATAAATGTAAAACACTCTTGACTCTCTGGACTAAACCTTAAAGCACATCAAGTGAGCAGCAGTTAACTGGTTTTGCAGGAGAAATAAACTACTTCCACTCAGTTCACATTGAAGTGTTATTCACACCACCTACATCCTGTGCCTAAGTTAGACAGTGAGAAAACTGCCCAAAGAGGCAAGCTGGTGCAGGGCAGCTGGTGGCTTGTAAATTCACACTAGAGCTTCACTCAACAAAATCACCCTGTGCATTTAAACAGCTCCAATCCCTACACTATCACTTGAATGGAAATGGACAGACTACAGAAGACAGGAATTGTTTGGAAGTCTCTGGACTACCAGAAGGTGCAATGACTTTAAAAAGACACTAATCATTTATAGAAACTAAGTGACTTAACACTTGTGCCACTTAAAAGACACTCAATTCCATAAACTGTGAGATCAAAAACACCTGTTTGGTCTTTGCAGACTACAAGGAGTTTTCAAATTAAATGGTTACAGAAGAGAGCTAAACATATTCTGTAGTCATTCATACAATGGGGTTGCTTCTGCCAACCATCAGTATTCAAAAATGAAACCCAATCCCAAAATCAGAGATAGAGCTGTGATAGAGCTGTCTCTCCAAAATAATTTGGGGATAACAAATTATCTACTTGTGTCTCTCTAACTTGCCAACAATTCTGTGAAACTCTGGAGACAACAGGATAACACAAGCTGCCAAGTGCCAGATTGCTCCACTTGATTGTAATGCTCATATTAATCCCATCTGATAAAATATTTTATTTGCTGCCTTATTTATCTACATATTCAGTTTGCTTTCTTCAGAATTAAACTGACTACGACAGACAAGTTTTTAACAGAAAACACAACAGCAAGACAATCTAGTCAATATAAAAAAGACAGTAGATGACACGTATTGAAATGAATACCTTTCGCTGGTATGGTTGTGGTAAAGAATGCTAGAAATATTTTTATTCATTACTGTGTTAACATTACAATTTACACACATACAGTTTTCCAGAGCTAACGCAGCCTACCACTCTACTGCTTTAAAAATGTGAAGACAAATATTAAAAGAACTATACATCACATGTGTTTCAAAATGGTATCAACAGAATCTTCTCTCAGCCCCGTGAGCAGACATTATCCCTCTTAAAAATATTAACCATAAGTAAAACTATTACACCATATGATTTTTATACCTGGGCTAACGTTGCAATCTGTGGTTGTGCCTGTACTGTCATCTGTTGGGTTTCTGCCTCTGTACCGGCTGCATCTCCACTCTGCTGGGTCTCTGCTCCAGATTCCATGGTCATTTAGTTACCTACAATCACAATATTTGTCGTAAGTCTGGGTTGGTATGCAAGTCCATTACTCTTGGTGAATCTGGCAGTAATCACTGCAGCTGAATTCCCATTACTACATACTGTTTTAATTTGCTTATTAAATGTTGCCAAATTATTAGTATTCAGGCAAATTCTTTTCATGCCAGGTGTTTGCCTCAGGTTGATTTTTCTGCGTGTAATGTTTCTGAAAAACAAGTCCAGTCTCCTCCAACAATGAGAACAGGAAAAAATGCATTTTGCTCATCCTAAAAAAACTGAGCAATTGCACTCTGATGACCTAGTACCTCTGCAATTTGGAATAAAGACCTGTCAGTACGTCAGGAAGGGCACTCCCTCAGTGCCAAGGTGACAACATGCCCTGTTACAGCCCTCCCTCTCCCCCCAGCTGCAGTCTGCAGATATCCAGCAGCAATTGTTCCTGTGCTGGGTGCTCAGTTCTCAGCTGTCTTTGCCTGAACTAAATATGCAACATCTCCATGCAAGTTCTTTCCATCACCACGCTGCGTATGGCTCCACATCACAGCAACTTAGCCTCTTCCACCCAGTGATTTTAAAGCCAGTATACAAAATGATGGAAGCCATTTCTACTTGAACCTTACCACAAATGTTTTTATATTTAGAGGTGCACATTAGTTCGTCATGACCTAAGTTTTTTATCATATACAGCTCCTAATACACTGATATTTCTAAACACTAACTGAGCAAACCTAGATCACCAGAACATACAACTCTATAAAAAGAGGTTGCATAATTTCCAAACCCATGCACGTAGGCAGAGTGCAATGCCTGTTAAATTCTGCACTGATCTGAGAAAATCACTTTTCAGTTCTTCTTTAAATACTGATATGAAAATACTTGATATAAAAAAGATCTTCAAAATACAAAGAAATTATATAGCAATGCTACTGTATTATACAGAACTCCAGGTATTAAGAATGGGTATTACCTCCATAGCCACAACACTTATTCTGTGTACCACCCTGTGCTGCCCGAGCTATTCTGGCCTTTGGCTACCCCAGGGCAGCACACCTCTCTTCAGAGCTGGTCCAAAACAATCATTAGAGCATTTCTGCTTTGGGAAGGGGCCAGGAGGCAGAGGATGCTCAGAGCAGAAGAAAGGTGGAAAGAAGCAAAAATGCCCCTCTCCTTCCCTGGCCCCCTGAGGAAAAGACTTAGAAGCATCAAGACAGGTGGTGGTACCATGTCCATACTCCAGACATTTCATTTTAAACACAAAGTCAGGGAAACTTCCATTTAAATGCAAACTATACCTCAGTGTTACAGGAAAAAGAATACCTTTTATACTGCCTGAAATGGCAGTGTCACACTTCAACCCTGAATATGAAATGTCTTACAGCAAGCAATTGATAATCAAGAGAGTTAAAACAGCTTTTCACAGTAGTAACTGCATTCTACGTCGAAAGAAATCAATCAAGTGTATATAAGTAAAAATCTGTATATTTACTATTGAAAGTGACCGTTCAAATGAGCTTGCGTGTGTGTCAACACTGAAATGTAAAGTATCAAATATTTAGTTCTAACATCAGTAAAGAAGGAAAATAATTAAACCTGACTTTCCTTGAAAATTAACAACAAAAGAAAACACTGAATTTTTTAAAAAAGCAAATTAAACTATTCTAAGGAGTGGAATTTTGTTATGCCTCTCTCTCTAGCCAAGACTTCTGTGCTACAAACCAAGGCTTTCCCATGTTGCGCTTCATATTTCAAAAAGCACATAAGAAAACCCATGCACTATTAGTATTTGCAATATATTTTACCAAACAGCTTTTAAAGACTTAATTACAACAGTTTACATGGTTTTCTATCCCAACTTTAACACCTAAGTCACATTTTAACACTTAGTCCTCCTTGCTATATGCCCATTTTTCTTTTGAGTATTATGTATTTTGAAAACTACAAACCAAACTACCACAGGTTTCCCCTTGATTTTTACCATTTTAATATTTCTCCAAGGTAAGCAAATCAACAACTTTTTCCCAAGTCTATGCATTTATCATGGTGACTCCAGTCAAAAGACTACCTCATTGGAACCATTTCAGAAGCAGATCTTTCACATCAGCAACATCTCCCAGCCAAGTCTCTCCAAAGAAGTTTTGAACACAACTTTCCAGCTACAAATCCAAGTATACTGCAAAACTAATAATGCTTTTGTTTGCTGATAGAAATCGTGACTCCAGCATGGAATGAGTTGGGATTAGAAATGGATGAAATGTGCAAGTATCAGGTATTTAGCAATGTTCACTGAGGTAAATGTGTTGCCAAATTCCTCCTGATAAATGCAATGTTATCCTAAGAAGAATTTCCAATCCTCTCATACACTATTCAGCAAAGGTTCTCTGTCTTTACAAGCTTGGCTTCCATGCCTGCATCATCTTTTGCATATGTAATCAGCAAAAGGATTAACTGTTTGAGATACTCCCTCTTCTGTAACACCAACATTTCAGAAATCAAATTCTTAATATGAATTGCAAACACCTAAAAGGAACTTCCTCATTTCGTAATGTAAGAACCAAGCAGTGCAGGAAGCTGGCTGCAAGATTTACATATTGCCACATGCAGTTTAAGTGAGTTTCTAATGACCTGCAATTTTCTGACAAGCTCTCAGTCTCATGTTATTTACAGGTTCTAAGGACTCTGGTTCAATTTAGCTTGTACTTATACATCACAGGATTTGAATTCTAACAGATTCTCTACTACCTTTCACAGTAATTTGTGAGAAAAAAGAGGAATCAGATTTTTGAGCATCAAGGCATCATATTCCAGAGACAGTGGCCATCACATTGTTTAACATTTGGGTATGATCAAGATTGCCAAGATGTTACACACAGAACATAATCACTTACTAAGTTGCATGTATGGGTAAGGCCATGACAGCTGAAATTAAGGCTGTCAATTCCTCTTCTTGCAATTTACAGTGAAAATATGCTTGGTTTGAAACACTGACCTCCCAACATACATAAATGAATGCCAATCTGTACATCTCCTTTCTAAGCTTCAAACCCCTAGTCTAGACAAGCTTTGCTGACATGTATCCCAGCATCTGTCTGTTCTTGTGGGTGACTTGCAATTTACAGTGAAAATATGCTTGGTTTGAAACACTGACCTCCCAACATACATAAATGAATGCCAATCTGTACATCTCCTTTCTAAGCTTCAAACCCCTAGTCTAGACAAGCTTTGCTGACGTATTCCAGCATCTGTCTGTTCTTGTGGGTGCCACCTCCTCCTTTTACTCCTCCTGCCCTGTTCACAGTGGCCCACCCTGCTCCCTGGCACTGATTTCCCTGGCAGGCACCACACCAGGAATTCTCAAATGAAGACAGGGATCTGAAAAGTGTCCTAGTGGGGAACAAGTCTCCAGGCATGGACAGCTTATGGGAGCCAAGGGAGCACACTTCTCATTTTTCCTTGCTTCCAGGCTACTTTTCAGCTTGTCAGGAGAGGACACCCACATGCACATACTCTGAGAAAAGATTAGTAACTGCAATATTGAACCAAGTATTCTAAATGAAACTAACTGAAAATAATAGTTATTAACAACCAGAGCTGGAAAAACAGAAACTGTTTGCCTAAAACATCCTGGATATGAACTCTGAACAGCAGAAAGCTGAGACTACCTGGTTAGAGATAGTTTAAATCATGACTTTTGTAGTGCACAGCTTTCTTCATTAATTCAAAAGTGGCAGCAATATTACATTTACTAATGCTTTTTCCTAATAACTTATTAATGATCTCAAACTCTGGAAGCATAGAGCCAAAAAGTGAAACAATCAGGTGAAGATGAGCATTTATTTTAGCTAAATCAAGACTGGGAGAAGGAGTTCAGCAGAGGATAACTAACTGTCCCAGCGGAATTTACACCATGACCAAAGAAGACAGATTCCACTAAAAATTAACAGTTGCAGAATGCAACTGAACTATATACACTGCAGAAAAATCCAAATAAACCTGTCTCCTTAGCTGCATAAAGCTGGAAGGGGCACTTAGCTAAGGACTGCTGAAGAGAGATCCACTTCAGATTTCTTCTTGATGTCCATTTATGACAAGAAAAGCTACAGAATTAGACTGCAACAATAATAAGAAACAGGGTCATCTTGAACTAGTGTACTTGTGCAGCTGGACCCTACACATCACCTGGATTACAGTGCAGAGACTGGGAGCCTGTATTAAAAATGGGTTCTGTGGAATTTGAGTATTCTCAAGTATATTGAGTATTCTCAAGTATATACTTGAGAAAGCAAGTATTTAGGGCAATGAAAACATGTTTTATCAAGAGACTGGATGGATTTTTATAATTTATCCCAGAAAGGAGAAAAATGTTTCAAAATAATTTAGAAAATATATTTAAACTATTAACAGGGTAAGTAAACGCTAAACATGCACTGTCTGATTATAAAATCAGCAAAGCTTAAAGATGTCAAATTTTAAAGTATAAAAATTAAAAATTAAAAAAATCTATTAAAAATTATGAAAATTGATACTTCATGTACTGCATAAAGGGAGCAATGATGCTACTGATAAGAAATTTATTAGGACTTAAACATGGGTTAGACAGTCACTTGGGTAAAAGGAATATCCAAGAATATGTTGAATTAGTACAGCTTTTTCATGCCAAAAAAAGTGCTGAACCAAAAGGAAGATAAAAACTTAATGAGTCGGGATGGAAATTGATTTCTAATCTTTAGAAATTCAAATAAATGCTTTTATGAGTGGGGAAGATTATATCCCATGTAACTTTTGCAGGTTCCAGTAGTCTTTTGAGGTACCTACTGATCTTCACTATCTCGAAGACAGGACACTGAACAAGGTGCTACAGGTAATGCTAACTCCTGTAATCCCTGTTAGTTAAAGTGACCATCAATGCAGTGCATCCAGAGCATGAGCTGTTAGTTACCTCCCCTCCCACCTGCCTAGAGTCAGGATAAAATATAACTGTCTTCCAACAGCTCTCATCTCC